AAAATTTTTTTTTGTAATTTTTATTTATAATTTTTATTTATATAATTTAAATAAATTTTTTTGTTGATCACAATTATGTGCGCAAATATTTTTTTGCAGATCATAAGATCGTCGAATTTCCAACACTGCTTAAATCACACCTGAATTGTACTTAGATTATACTTGTTTTATTCTTAAATATTTCCCATTTAAGTAGAAAATAAGGATGTCAGTATACCCTTAAAACATACTCATTTTTAATTGTTGTATTTTCAAAATTAATAGTATATAAACAATTATTTTATTTATTTAAAAAGACCATTTTTTATTTTTAAATATGAAAAATACAAATATTTTCTATTTAATATTATAATGTAATATAATGTAATAATGTAATAATGTAATAATAATAATATATATAATGATTTTCTTTTTTTTTTCCTTACAAGTTGCGTAACTAGATCCGTTTTTTTTTAAAAGAGAAAAGTAATCAATATTATAATGTAATATAATGTAATAATGTAATAATGTAATATAATAATAATATATATAGTGGTTTTCTTTTTTTTTTCCTTACTAGTTGCGTAACTAGGTCCGTTTTTTTTTTTTTTTTTTTTTTTTGAAAAAAGAAAAGTAATTAATAATATAATAAAATAATAATGTAATATAATGTATTTTTTTTCCTTACTAGTCGTGTAACTAGATCCGTTTTTTTTTTGAAAAAGAAAAGTAATTAATATTATATTAATATATAATAATAAAATAATAATGTAATATAATATAGTTTATATAATAATAATATATATAATAATAATATATAATTTTTTTTTTCCTTACTAGCCGCGTAACAAGATCCGTTTTTTTTTTGAAAAAGAAAAGTAATTAATATTATAATAAAAATAATAATGTAATATAATATAATTTATATAATAATAGCATATATAATGATTTTCTTTTTTCCTTACTAGCCGCGTAACAAGATCCGTTTTTTTCTTGAAAAAGAAAAGTAATTAATATTATAAATACAACTTTTGTACCAAAAAAATTTCCTTGAGGTTTATCAATTATCAATTATTACACGACGCGAAACATCATCAAAAACCCTTTTTTATTAAAAAAACAGGATAAAAAAAGACTCTGTATCAAAATTTCATTCAAAAAAATAAAAAATTCGACCAAAAATGTTAATTAACATTGTACCGGTTTAATTTTGTTGTTTTCTTATGTTAATAAAAAATTTGACCAAAAATGTTATTTGACTTTGTACTGGTTAATTTTGTTGTTTTCTTATGTTAAAAAAATTTATCTATAAATAAGAAAAACAATCATAAAAACTTGGTAACAAACTCATGTGGCATATTTTAGTTACATTTAAGTGTGTTTGTTGATATTAAAAATAAGTGTAAAAAAATTAAGCAAATTGAATTTTTTAATAATTCTTAATTTTTTATTTTAAAGTTAATAATACTTAAAACATACTTATTTTATACTATATAAATTTTAATTTTTGTGGAAAATAAGTATATTTTAAGTACACAAATGTTTCTATTACTGCAAAAAATAAGGGTGTTTTAATGATAAAATAAGTGTATCCAATCAATTTTTGTAAAAAATCAATGATCATCATTTTATGAAATGTACTTAAAATACATGTCAAAACATACTTAAAACATACCTCTATAAGAAAAATAAGTATAAAATAAGTATTTAAACTTTGCATAGGGTAATAAAAGTTATTAAACTAAAAAAGCAAAAGAGCATAGTACCAGATTCCAACTAATTTCTTTTTCTTTCTTACACTAATAAAAAAAGGTTGTTCCAAAAAAACGCAGAAAAAAGAAAACAAGATACCCTAGATACTACTTTAATTGAAGCCAATAAGTAAGTGTTTATTAAATGGTGGTGGTTACGATTGCCGCAACTCATTGTTGTCACTTTTTAAAAAATGTCAATAGAAGAAGACCATTGCAAGAAATTGATGAAAATAGAACTATGCTGATTGTGATGTTAATAAAAATGGAGATAAAGTCAATACTGTATGTATTGTTCTATTTAAAGAAATTAATGATTAATGTATTAATGTAGTAAAAAAATTATTTTTAAGGTAAAAATACAAGGAATTCTTGATAAAGAAATAATGTACAACAACATGTGAAAGATTTCTGCATTTTTTTTGAAAAATATAAAAATGAAAGTCTACAAGATAAATTAGCTGCTTCGGGTATTATGGATCTAACTTCAAAAAGTATGCTTTCAAACAAAGTTCCTGAAAAAACCTATAGAACATTTATTTCTTCACTAGACACATTTGATAAACTAATCCCTGATGAGGAACATGTATTTCTTGTTTATTTTTTTGGACAAGTAAGTATCACACAATCAATAAACAAATATTTATATATTTTTAGAATGAAACATTCATAATATGTTTGCACTTCCAATTCAAACTAAAAATTCCGTTTTAATTCTTCTACTTTCCACCTTTCATTTCTAATAACATTATTATTACAACTAGGATCTAACATTAAACGAATAGTTTACTTGTCTAGAAAAATTGAGTCCTGATGGATTTAAAGAAAAAACTAAAAAAATAATGATCCGTGTTATTAAGAAAACATTTGACAATTTGTATGTTTTTGCATTTATTTTGTCAATTAATATATTGTCTTTTATTGACTTAGATTTTATTTTCAGCTTGCAAGCCTTTTTCCTGGACCATATGAACCCACTGCAAAACATCAATTCCTTGGAACAACCACATTTGAATGACTTCATTCATCCTTGTATTAAGGCAGCATTATGGTTTTGTTCAGAAACCTATTATTCTTTTTAAGCTAAACATTATTTCTATTTTTTAATTAATATTCTATGAAGTTAACTATTAATTTTGTCAAACATTTCTAGTGGAGAAATACCTTCAATATATCATATAAAGTCTCAAAGAGGAGATAGTGTTAAAGACTAGTGCTGTAAATTATGATGATGGTAGTAATTGTATTCACGGCATATAAAAAGTGGTTGCAATTACCTTTGCGACCACTTTTGCAACCATACTTTTTCCTTTTTTGGATTACGGCACTAGTCTTTAGATGATGTTGGTTTTACAACTGATGCTAACAGATATCAAATAATTTATGTTGAAGGCAGTCGGCCATATAAAGCAACAAAAAAAAAAAGAAACTGCTGATCGTACAAAGATAGCACACAATTTAAAAAATATGTATTCTAAGATTATTAAAGATAGAGTTGAAAAAAGAAAAAATATTATTCCTGAAATGAAATTATTTGGGGCACACAGTTTTAAATTGAATGTGTTTTTATATTTCTTGGATTTTGTTGGTAAGCATTTTTTTGACTTAATCATGAAATCATTATGAAGTTAAATCTAAAGATTGTATGTTCAAACCAAATAGGTCACTATCAACTTGTAGAAATAGACAATGTATCTCTTCCTCGAGACATGTCAGAGATAAAAGACTTTGTCAATTTTTATGGAGCCATAATTAAATGGGCAGTAAGTGTTGAAATCATTCATGTTGTAATGAAATTACTAAAATTCAAAACATGACTAATTTATTCTATTGTCATTAGTTATTGACATCTGAATTCAAACTTAAATCATCTGATCCAGAATCAAGAATATGTTCATCTCGTTTATCTTATAGGTTAAATTTAAGAAAATTAAATGATTTGCTTGAGTAATTTAGAATGACTTTAATTAATTAATTAAATTAAAACAATAATAAAACGAACATAAAACTGTGAAACAATCTTTGCATATTTTAACCAAAAATGAGTTTTTTTTTTTATGTATCCTATCTTAACTAAAAATGTTTATTTCTTATGAAACTAAAATTTCTCAAAAATTAAATTTTTTTAGTTTCACGGGAATTACTTCATTTTGTATAAAATAGTAAAAATAATTTAAATATGTTGTTATAAAATCAAATTAATTAAAAAAAGAATACTCATCCAATCTGCATCCATGTCTAATGCCCATTGGAATTTTTCATGAAGACTTTTGTTAAAAATCTTAGCAATCGGTACTTCATACTTTTTGTACCATGCTACAGAAATACATGAGCCCAAATAAACAATTTTTGATGTACCTTGTGCAGTTGTCTTATTGTATTCTTTATCTTGTTTCAACAATTTGGTGGTTTTGATACATTCTGTCAATTTTTCTATTTGGCTCCAGAGTTTTTCACTTGTTTGTCCTTTTTTTAGGATTGACTTTGCCAGATTTCCATTCATTTTCAACTCTCATTTTCGTTGATGTCCTTTAATAATTTAGATATTTCTTGATCTTCTTCTTGTTGTTGTTGTTGTTGTTCTTGACGTTAATGTCATTTTGTATTTTAGTTCAATTAGACTATCATTTGTTTTCCCGAATTGTAATAATAATCTTTGTACAATATATCTCGATAAGATCTCATGTTATCCCACATGGCGCACTCAAAAAATAAAAATTCAAGTTTTTTTTTTTTTATTTTTAAACAATAAATTAGCATATACTTACTCGGGTCAGTAGGTGTAACAACATTAAATTTAACCATTATTTGTTATTCATCCTCGTTCAACGTCTTAGCTATTCCACTTGTATCAATTCTCAGTTTCCCAATCTCGCTCGGCTTTTATTCTATTGGTTCATTACTATCTTTGGTTTGAAAATTTGTATCAGAATGAATCAGATCTGGATCAGATTTTACAAATATATCTTCATTTTAACAAAACAATAGGCTCTCCTCCTTCTCGTTGAGATATGATGATGATTACTCCAATCTTTGATGATGAATTGTTGAAGGCAGACTATGTAGGACTTTTCAATAGAATGTCGAAATCATGGTTTGAGTTAATACCATTTTTATATGCACTCTTTAGATGGGACGTTTTTGGCTTAGAAATTATACCCAATTTGCATAGAAAATTTTTGAGATATTCTCTCTTGAAGTTTCAAAACGATAGCAAAATTCCTTTAGATCTTTGTTTCAAAAAGGCGTCAATTAATTTTTCATAAACTGACGATATATCATCATTAATATCATTATCATTATTCATGCGTATGAACTTAAAGTCCACACAGATTTCAAATTCACTTTTCATTATGACCAAGTCTTTTTAACTTACTTTATTAATTTTAGCTTCAGCCATTTCATAAGCTATGGCTTTATCATCGATTTTGGTAGAAATATTGGTAGTGCCTGTGGTGATGGCGGAGAAACTTTTCCTGACTTTTTTTTTTGACAACGCAATCAATTGTTTTAGAGTGGCATCTTTAACGATTTTTATCGAGAGATAAAACCATTTAGTAGTAGAAATTGGGATGCAATTGGTGATGTTAGAAATTATAATGCCATCAGATGGTGGTAATTTTTTTCCCCCTCTAATGCGATAAATAATCGTAAATCATTGGTTTTTTTCTCAAAAAAAATTGTGATAAATACTTTTTTTTTTAAAAAAAAAAATAACTTCAATCGAATTGCCAGGAACTCCAAAGAGAACTTGAACGGGAAAATAGCTATTATATTCAATTTCTTTTTCACCTCCTCTTCTTACCTTCTCTAAATCAAATTGATCAATTAAATATCATGTCTTTAATGTAATATAGTCTACATTTGTGGAACTGTTTTAACAATTCATGGTAAAAATATTACGATAACGGCATATTTAGCAGATTTTCGTAATCGTATCCTTTTTTGGTTTTTGTTTGTTTGTTTTTTATTTTCAAGAGATACACGGAAAATAAAATTTACAATATCCGTATAAAAATTTTTTTAATTATTAGTCTTTACTTTAATCTTTATTTTGATCTTTGTTTGATCTTTGTTTGGATTGTTTATTCAATTACTAAATTGGAAGAGTTTTTTTTAAATATATATATTTAAAGATTCGCAAAGTCGAAGATAAATGTGTTATTATTATGTCCATGATTCCCTTTGTTTATTATAAAAATATGTATACTTGTAATTTTCATATCATTATTTGGTTCTAAAAAAGCCCAATTAAAAATCAATTCTTCACAATTTGTCAATAACTCTAGTAAATAAAATCAATATTAAAATATTAGTTAATTACAAGAGTTATAGATACAAGAGAAAATGCAAAAATTGAGAATCTTATCATGGTTTATTTTTGTGAATATGTTTTTCTAAAATTGATGGAAACGATTCTTTTATATAAACACATGCTTCCAATTAGTTTCTAGAATGCAACATGAATCATTTACAATCTATGTTTGTAAAGCAACAGTAAATATGTAAATACAAATATTTTTTCAAATAGCATTTTTTGAGAAATATTTAAATTAATTTTATTATTAACTCGTATTATTTTATGTGAGGTGAAGGAGTTTACACGCCACAGATAAATAATATCATTCATTCATAGAATGTTTATTCAGAAAATTTATGTGTTTAATATAAAGTTACTGCCTTTCTATCAAAAAAAAAAAACTAATTGAATATCCGGAATCTAATAATCAAAGCAAACCACCATTCATAAATGACATTTTATATATTCTTCAAAAGTACCCCAACAGCTTAGCATTACGTGTTATTATCATGTCTTGATTCAGTATTAATGAAACAAGTCTGGGATCATTAAAACAATATATCAATCAATGAAGATCAGCAACATGGACAACGTCATGAAATCTATGTATGCGAGTGCCACTATGTCGCATGATATAGAATAGTAAATCCAATATTACCAGAAACATCCTTAAAATTTTTATTTGAAATGTTATCAATCAAGGAATGCCAGAAGTAGGTGTTTCAAGTACTGCGGATCTCCAAATGCTATTGAAAGCTTGCATAACACAACAAACTCCACCTGCTGTTTCTTTTCTTTACCATTGGGTAGTTTTTTTAGCAAGAGTACTGTTGGTAATAATGTTTTCAAAGGTAAATAAATAAATACAATAATGATGAGAAATTACTCATGAAAATTTATTCTTTAATAATTCTTTTAAATGTGCATATATAAATGTTGATTTTTTCCAAATAACTATTAACTAATGATTCTATTTTGTAATTTCTATAATATTATATTATTAATATTATTAATAAATGATTAATTGTTCTAACTTCGATATATAATATTGGCTCCACCAAGCTACATTTCAAAAGTAAAAATTTTATTGCATTTTTAATTTATAGTAATAATGATAATAATAATAATAATAATATATGGGATAATACATACATCAATAATTTCGATTTCTTGTGGTGAAATATCTTTTCTTTTATATTTTAATGGTAAATCTGAATAATCGTAATACGTCTGAGCATTACTATCAGATTTAGATTTATTTGAAGCAGAAGCATTGGTTGTAATATCTGAACGAGTTAAAGATTGAGAAGGCAGAGTTGAACCTTTTGGAGCTGCTGGATGAAGTTTTGGATTCCCATTAATTGAACCTTTGTTATTCCATTTGTTGTTATAATAATTAATTAATTAAACATTTTAATTATTGTGAATTATAATAATTATTATTGATTTAGTGGTGGGTGGATATGCGATTACCTTTATTCAATTTACTCCTTGGACCTAAAAATTTTATTAATGGAACATGTTTATGTAATGCATTTAAAACAGAACTTGGTCTCATAATTTAAAAAAATTATTTAATATTAAAAAGATTGAAAATTAAATCTGCGTCACCTACCGTATTTGTGATATTTGTGGTTGCATTAATATTTATATTAAACTGACTGACTGGTAAAAAAGATTCATAAGAATTGTGATGCAGCATTTCCTCAGCCTCTATCTAACTCAATTATGGTATTTAAAAATTAAATTTCGTGCACCTTGGTAAAATTTATATATAAATTTCGAAAATTTTAGATCTTGCAGTCTGTGGGATTGGGATTATTATTTTTAACTGAAAAAAAGCTTGCAACAGAAGGCGTATTCTTACAATGGGGGGTTTTTTTTTGTTTTACTAATCATGTTTACTATGACCAGTTTTTTTTCTATTTTAAACCAATTGAATTCGACCCAACACAACACAACATAATAATAATAAAAAGATACTTTGTCATATGTGACAAATTCAAACGTTTAAATGAGTGAAGAAGAGGAGGTTTCGGTGATTGAGAGAGGAAGAATAATTACATACAGCAGCTGAAATAAAGAGCTTTGGAAATCAAAGTTTCTGTTTCAATTCCAGCTGCTGAAATTATTGAATGTGGTGATCCAAAATTTGATGAAGAATCGATCGTAGAAAATGCAATGATAATTGATTGAATTATAAATTTTTAATATTGATGAAGTTTTAGAAATTTTTTAATTTTTGAACCAAAGGTTAAAGGTAATAATTTGAGATGACATACTGCAAGTAATTTGGGATTTTTAGTCTATTAATGTCATCGCGAGAAAACTACTACTACTATTACTATATAATACCGCAGTAGATTGCGTAAAATATCTAGTTAGTGCTGTTGGATTGAATAAAACCCAATGCTATGGTACTGAAAAAGACTTTCAGTATTTTGATATTAAATATAAAGTATATATCTTTTAAGAAATTAAATGGTATCAACATTTTCTTGTAAAGCTCAAGAGATCGATCCCTTCTTTTGTGCTCTCCATGGACCTTTAAACGCCAAGAATATTATTCGACAGTAAAAAATTTGTGCGCGCAATTCACATACGTGAAAATTAAAATTAGCCAATCAAAAGGAATATCGACCTAAAACACCCTTCCATGTTTAGTTACTCGCTCATGCAATTTTTCCCTCGTTTTAAAATTCACATGTATTTAAACATTGTGTAACTTCTAAATTTTTTTTTGATCTTTGAAATTTTTCCTTTGCAATAATATAAAAATATATATTTTTTTTTTCACCATATATGGCATTAAGTTTAAATCATTATAATAAAATTTTGGTATTGAAAAAGAACAATTTACCCAAATTATTTTCAACAATTTGGATAATGAATAGAGCACGAAAGTCAACAGTTATAATAGCTAATAAATCATCATCAATCACATCATCATCAATCACATCATCATCATCGTCATCATCACTACCACCACCCTCATCGCCACCATCAGATAAATCTTTAACTTCAAAAACAATTCCAACTTTCTTTGAAAGATTATTTAGTAATTTTAGTTTTGTTAAGAGTTCGCTGCTTAATGATAAACAAGATAAAATTAAATTATCATTGCCAATAACATCATTATTTAATAATAATAACAATAACAATAACAGTAAAAATAATAACAAAGAAAATACTTGGGATCAAGCAATAGCTGAAGCAGAAAAATTAGTTCAACATAAAGGTGGATCATATATTGATCCTATGAAACTTGTTGGTGCAGATATAATAGATTTAACTAAAAATATAAAAAGACTTTTGGGTAGCAAACATCCTTTATTAGACACTGTTAGTAAATATTATTTTCTAACTGATGGAAAACATATAAGGCCTTTGATTGTGTTGTTAATGTCTCAAGCAACCAGTATAGCTGATAAAAATTATAATTTTACACAAAAAGATTCTTATAAAATAATAGATGAACAATTATCACCAATCAATTTCAAACTTAATGACACCACTACCACCACCACCACCACTGTTTATTCTTCTTTAAATCAAAATAATGATGAAAAAGATGACCTTTCTGCTCTTTATTATCCTTCTATTTCTTCTACTACAGGTGCAATAATTCTTCCTACTCAAAGACGTTTAGCTGAAATAACTGAGATGATTCATACAGCTTCACTTCTTCATGATGATGTGATTGATTTGTCAGAGACACGTCGTAATCAACCATCAGCAAATATGAATTTTGGTAATAAGATGGCTATACTTGCTGGTGATTTCTTATTGGCTCGTGCATCAATAGCATTGGCAAGATTACGTAATCCAGAAGTTATTGAATTATTAGCTACTGTTATTGCTAATTTAGTTGAAGGCGAATTCATGCAATTGAACAATATAAAATTATCATCACCATCATTATCATCATTATCATCATCATCAAAAAATTCTATGACAACTTTTGAGTATTATATGGAAAAGACTTATATGAAGACTGCAAGTTTGATTGCAAAAAGTTGTAGAGCTGCTTCAATACTTGGTGGATCAACAGTTGAAGTCTGTGATATTGCTTATAATTATGGTAGAAATTTAGGATTGGCTTTTCAAGTATGTTTTTCTTGTTGACTTTTTTTCCCCTATAAATTTTTCATGATTTTTATCACAAGAATAAAATAGTAAATAAATTTTAAAAAAAGGGGGTTTTTTTAATTAATTTTAGCTAGTAGATGATATGCTTGATTTTGTCATAACATCAAAAGATCAATTAGGTAAACCGGTAGGAGCAGATTTAAAATTAGGATTAGCAACAGCACCAGTTTTATATGCATGGGAAGAATATCCTGAAATTGGTCCATTGGTTAAACGTAAATTTTCTGAAGAGGGTGATGTTGAAATGGTTTGTAATTAATAATAACATAAAAATAAAATTTAAAAAAAATTCTATTATATTAAATAATAACAAGTTCTCTCATTCATTCATAAATAAATAAATAAATATATATATATTTGTATAGGCAAGAAAATTGGTTTATCAGAGTAATGGAATTGAAAAAACAAAACTTTTGGCTTCTTCACATTGTCAAAAAGCAATTACAGCAATATCACAATTACCAGAATCTGATGCACGTGATGCATTAATACAGTTGGCTCATAAAGTTTTAATAAGAAAAAAATAGAGATGGGATGGACTTTTTTTAATATATTTATTTTATATATATATTGTAAAATTACATAATAGATTTTAATAATTTGTATTAGACAGAATTTATTCATAATCTCTCTCTATAACATACAGTATATATTTAGTATATATGTATGTTTTTAAAATAATAAACAAAAAACACTCATTATTGATTTTTTTTTGATATAGAGAGAAAAAAATTTTATTATCATCATTTTTATGCATTAAAAACATCTCGGACACTTGTATAAATCAGTTTTTTTTACCTGATGATGTATGACGTAACTAAAGTACTGACTAAAGGTAGTTTCTCGCCGGGCCATCTGACGATTTGACTAAAGTAAAAGTCCTTGTCGTAAGTAAAACTACTTGACGTAATTAAAATCACTTGACGTAAGTAAAAATGCTTGATACAAGTAAAGCACTTGATACAAGCAGCAATAATGATAATGTGTGTACCGGGATGAATAAAGAATTATTATATCATTGTATGTATTTTGCATTGATGCAAGAAGAATAATTATCGTGGAAGTTTACAAATGTTATAATTTGAATTAGAACTTTTACCTAATTAAACTACTCGTTTTTTTTCGTATATTTTTCTTTCAAAATAAAAATGCCTCTTCTTTTTTACAAATTAAAACTATCCTTTTATTATTATATTTCATATAATCAAATTGACTTTACATACATATGAGTTGTGTTAAATTAATATTCTTGACTTTTGAAGTTAACTACGCGTAATAGTGATACGCAATAATATTAATAATGTGCTTGAGCTGTCTTTAATGTCTGAGTTTGAAGCAATATAGATCAATCAATATTTGGTAATGACCTTTACATAGCACATAAGACAGGTTTTGGTACATATTTTTGTTAAGTTTTAATTCGTTTCCTAATTTTATCACTTTAAATCTTCAATTTTTTTTATTGTTGAAATATTATATACAGATTGGTGATGATGAAAGTTTAAATAATGCAATTTTTTCCTTATCAATTAATCCATTTAAATATAAAAAACAAATTATTTGTTACACATCACTCAATTCTCCGCAAAAATCTCCACATTTATTAAAGCACCAAGTCGAATTTTATATTTTATATTTTATAATGTCACATGATAAACTATATCATCGATATCATCAGAAAGAAGGGGATTTGTATATAAAATTGACAATGAAATGTGTAATAATGTTAATGTTAATTCTGATAGAGAAAGTAGAAAAGATTATTTTTGTTCATTAGCCAAAAAAAACAAGGTGCTTTCTGAAAATGAAAAAGAATATTGTAAGGAAAGGTTTATTTATGAGTTTGAATTAGAGAATGTTACATATAAACAGGGAAAACCAAAAGAATGTAACAAGTGTAAATTGATAAGATACTCTGATAGGTTTTGTGAAGGTTGTATTAGTTTACAATTACAGAGTCTTTTCACCACTTGGACATCTGGAAATAACATAATTGATGATTTTATTCAACAATGTCAAATGAAATCATCTCTGCCAAGCTATGTTTTAGAATGGATACCTTTTGAGCAATTTGATGATATTACAAAGTTGACAGAAGGTGGATTTAGTTCGATTTTTACTGCTGGATGGATAAGAGGAAGTATTAATGATTACAACGAAAATACAAAGGAATTTAATTATTTTGGAGAGCAAGAAGTAGTATTAAAAAGTTTAAATAATTCAAGTAATCCAGGAAAAGCCTTTTTTGATGAGGTTGGTAGTTGTCATTTAAACAAATAAACAATACTGTATTATATAATAAATATTAATTGATTTTATATTTAATTACAGGCAATGAATTATTGTAAAATTAAATCAGGGTCGATTGTTAGATGTTATGGTATAACTAAATTCCCAGATAATGGAAATTATGCAATTGTTTTAAATTATCATTCAGAAGGAAATTTAAGGGATTATTTACAAAATAATCATTTAAATCTAACATTAAAAGACAGAATTAGTATATTTCATTATTTATGTTGGGCATTATATCAGATACATGAAAAAGATTTAATCCATTGTGATTTACATAGTGGTAATATACTTGTGCAAGTAGGTAGTTGTTATATTACAGATTTAGGATTATGTGGACCAGTTGATGACGAATCATCAAATAAAGTTTATGGAATTGTATCTTATGTTGCACCCGAGCTACTTAGAGGCAATAACACAAAGAACACCAAAGAAACAGATATTAATAGTGTTGGGATGTTAATATGGGAAATATTTGCAGGACATCCACCATTTGATGATAGAGCTCACGATCATCGCTTGATTTTTGATATATGTGCAGAAGGCTTACGACCACCAATATTATCTGGAATGCCTGATGATTATGTACAAATGATGCAGAGATGTTGGGATGTGGATCCATCAAAAAGACCAACTAGTGGAGAGCTTTATAATTTTGCTAGAAATAAACGTAACGAAATTATTAAAAATAATAATGATGATAATGGTAATAATACTATTAGTAGTGGTAGTAGTACTTCACAACAAGCACACAAACCACACCCAGATGCATATCATAGAAGTAGAATCTTAGATGAAGAGATTGCTAAATCTAGAAGCTTAAAAATTCATACAAGTAATAGCTCGTTAAATAATCTTGATTGTAACTCCTTTCTCTAAATATTAACAAAGGTAAATAAAATTTCACTATTAATTAATTAAATTACTATTCATTAATCATTACTAACAATACTTTTTATTTACATTATATTCTGATAATAAAAAGAAGGAATCGATGAATGGCTAATTTAATCTCCACTATAAATTATTCGTTATCTTTTTATTTATCTTTTTATTTTATCTTTATTTTATTTTCTTAAAGCTAAATTATAATAATGTTGTGAATAATAAACTTTTTACAATTTTTTGATTCTTGTTAAATTGTGGCATCATTTCGGTTAATTAACAATTATTTGGGTTAAATCTTGTTGGTTAATTGCGAATAATTTGGTGATTGTCAATTTACTAGTTTACAAATCTACTTTGGTTCCCTCTTTCTTGGGCCTAGACGAATCTGCGAGCACACTTAATGGTGCCAGATAAATAAAGATAGTCATTTACAAAGCTCGAGAGCTTCAATTTCAGCATAAATATAATACATGCATATATTTTTAATAAAATATAATAAGTAAACATTTTATTTATTGATGCACATGTTAGAAACACCACAGCAAAAGCATTTTCGGTTGTAGCATCAGCACACAGTATTCCTGCATTATTACCATTTTTGAAAGCAACATGTAAAAGTAAACAACATTACGAGCTAGACATACAGGAATCAAGATTGTTCAACAGATAGTTATTTTTATGGATCTGAGATTCTATCACATTTAAAAAATTTAGTTGAAGTTATTATTGCACACAGATTAGAAGTATAGTATCATTTGACTCGGTACTTTGTACAGGTATTTGTGAACATTATGGCAAAGGACTTGCTGCATTTTTAAAAGATATGAGATTTATTACTCCGCTTGTGGATTCAGAAGATATTAATTATTATAATGATTCAGGAATTTCAATCACCACATGAAGAGATGAAAAGATGATTCTTAAGGTGACAGAATGTGCTGCAACAGATGGAGTATTGCCACATTATATAAAAGATGAGATACTCTCAGAATCTTTCAAGAAATTTTGGGTTCATAGAATGGCAAACATTATAACTATAAATAAGATCACATTATATAATAATAACGGAATCCCTAGGTGTCACATTATTCAAATGGATATCCCAACAAAAACTAAATTAAAGGAAGCAATCAGAATTAAAGAGATATCTACAAGAGGTTGACATTCCTCAAGAACCACGTAGCTTTGAATATACTACCCTTAGGAGAATTTAGTGTATGGCAAGATATAGTATTAGAATGACTAGACCTTGGAGTCTGCACCAAAAACTTGAAATGTTATTGAACGAAGGAAATACAAGTCGAAGTTTAAATACTACCACGTATTGTGTGAAATGATTCGCGAAAACCCAAAGACCGTCAAAATACTTGAGAAAATGGAGAATATTATTAAGTAGCAACAAGGAGTTGTATCTTGTTCAAAGTAGTTGATGTTGCTTACTTGTCCGTAGTAAGGTAACTACCACTAATTTACTGTCTCGGAATTCAAAGAATTGTAGCAAAAGTTAGACTAATTTGGTTCCGAAATATGATCCTGCAGGAGCTTAATGCTGGAGAGAACCTTCTGTTACCAGGGTAACAACACAATCATCATCATCACCACCACCACTTAGTATTGGTTTAGATTACATGGTGTCTTCACTACCAATATCAACTTTATCATCTTCTTCAACTTCACCATCAGGATGAACCCACATGACATATAATTAATTATCATTTACAATTATTTATTATTTTTATTTATTTATTTCATTATTTCATTTATTAATTTCTTATACTTATTTGATAGTTGGTTATAATAAATATGTATTGATGTTATAATGTTATTTAACGTTAGATTATTAGTCACTATCATATTAGATGCTGATTATATAATTATATATAATAGGATAAAACAAAATCTGTCACTAAATTAACTACATATTCACATTTTAAAAATTAACTTTGATCTAAAGATCTAAAATTATTCTTTGGTTTCGACCATCTGAATAAACAAATATTCATATCAAATCACAAACCCAAAACTATTCGCTGGTCTACTGCCATTTCATCTGATTCTGCATAATTAAAAATACATTATCATCTATTACCACATCAATACCCACCTGATAACAATATTTATAATAATAAAATCATTTTGTTAATATGTATGTCAATAAAAAAATACATTTTCCATTTTTACATGATTGATAGTATATTAGCATACATGCAATTTTTATTTTTTCGATACTCTACGCCACACTGAATACAAACACATACATTGTTAAAGAATATAAAATCTGATGTAGGCAAAAATGTATTCTTTACATCATCGTGTGTTAATAATCAATTTTGGTAGTAGTGGTAATGATTCATTTACTTTACTGAAATGAAAAAAATTTTCAGATATTAGCAACATTACATCGTAATACATGCTTTCAACATACTATGCTAACGGATTTGTGGTTGTTCTTGTAGATTCTGCTATATTTGAGATTCCCTTTGGCTTTGTCGTCACCACCTTTCCGAGGACAAAATTTTCTTTTTTTGCTCTTTCCTTTATAAGCTTGAAATGAGAAACTGTAGAACGCAACAATTTCTG